AGGATTATTCGACTTTTAAAAAACAAAATCTCAATTCCTTTAGAAAAATTACAACGTTTTTGTTATAGTTGAATGACAATGGTTAATTCTACAACATGTGATGCTTATCTACTACTAATTATTTTAAAAATTCAGCCAGCTATCCTATTAATATTTGGCTTTGTTGCCAATATAATTGCCTTTATTGTTTTGGTTCAACCACGTTTACGTCGACGTCCAACATTTTCCTATCTTGCCTATTTATCGTTCTCCTATGCCCTATTATCACTGTTACATGCATTTTTTTCAATATTAGTTGTTTATTTCAATTTGTCACTAGAAAATCTTCCACTTGTCTACTGTCGATTTTTAAATCGATTTTCAATTGATTTTCTCACACATTTTTCTCTTTATACCTTAACTGCCGTGGATATTGAACGAATACGAACTATAACATCAAAATCTGTACCACAAAGATCAAATCGTCATACACATAGTACGGGTAGTTCAACGACATTTGTACGAGTATGTTTCATCCAATTGGCAATAGCTGCTATTTTATTCATCATTAATTTGCACTGGTTAACATCTTATGGTTATAAAAGTCGAGCGAATGATGGTAATGATGATAATATCATAACAATGTGCACAGTCGATATTACAAATCAAACATCATTTTATTATGTTCAATATGTAACATTAATATTACCCCTAATCGAATGCATCGTTTTTGGTATAATTCCATTTACAATCAGTGTTTTAGCTACAATTATTATTTTAAAACATGTTTCAACTAAATATTCCCGATCTTATCTAAATAAACGATTAAAAAAATCTCGTCGTCGACTCGAATTACATTTGAGTATATTATTAATATCGTTAAATGTTGTTTTTATTTTATTTACAACCCCACACAATGTTTACAATGTCTATATGGGTAATTTACATAGACTATTAAGTAAAAATAACCTTGAACATAATTCATTTTGTAAAGCAGCAGAAATTCAAAAAAGTCTTGATTTACTCCAACAATGTTATTTTATGTCAACATTTTTTCTTTATATATTGACAAATCGTCGATTTCGTGAAGAGTTTAGTAATTTTATTTTATGCAACAGATCAAGATTATCAGTAACAGCAGCAACTACAATAATAATCACAGCAAAAACGAATAATCATAACTCATTTGGACAATCGCCTAATCGATTACGTTCCGTTTGTCAAGTAGATGGGTGTATGGAATCATGTTTAAGTTCAACCGATTTAAGTGTAATGGTCAAAGCTCATTGAATTCTCTTATGGAAGAACTCTAGAACATTTGTAAGTTGTTTACGTATATAATCCACAGATGTAATTTGAAGTCTTATATAAAATTAGTATTCTTAATATATGATAATCGATTGAACTAAAAATGTCACGAAAATAAGATTTACAATAGATAAAATAATTACAATCACACACTGACTGTTTTTCATCATAAAATTGACTGGGTGAATATATAAGAAAATATATTCATAAAAAGAGGTCAGTAGGTTTAATAGGCTGTCTTCGAATGTGAGATCTACAGAAAACAATGCCGCAGCGATAAATAGTACTCAATTATTCTTTATATAAATATTCCAACATGCATATATTCCCAGACAAAATAATTAGATTTTGTCAATCTAGTCTTTTATAGATATTGAGAAAAATAATAGAATGGAATGGCACAGTACATTTGACATAGAATAAAAGTTTTAAAAAAAATGTGGAAGGCAGGCACATGACAAGAACAAAAGTAATTTTTGACTAAAACACGCGATCTAATTAAACAACGACATTGACAACATCTAAATGCAACTAAGCACTTGTAAGACGATAACGAGTACTTCTGGATTGTGAAGATATATTTGTATCAAATCGTTGTAATCGATGTAAAGCATCATCGAGAATTGTACCAGGAGTTTTGACGGCACGCAACGATGCACTACGAACAGACTCATAGTGTTTTTGAACCTTAAACAATTACAGTACATATATTTATTTAGTTTTCAATGAAATAGTGTTTGATATCCTACTTCTGCTACTAATGTTGTGGCTACTTTTTGACTTTTCTTATCAGCATTCAACATTTCTACTAATGGCTGTTCAATAATTGTTTTACGATCACGCATGTTATCTAACCACTGACTAATTTCTTCCACACGTGGACGATTTCGTTTTAACGGTGGTAATGTATGTTTCTAAAACAGACACATTTCACAATCACTATATTAATGATTCTACAAATGTTTGTGAGAAGACAATTTTTTTCAAAATAGAAGAGAGAAAATTTAATGGAAAGATTCTCCTATTTATTGCCGATCATTAATAAGAAATACGTACCGTATATTTTGGAACGAATGCTCGTTGTTTCTTTTGCATTTGAACATTATCTCGCACAATCAGTGGATTACGTAATATTTGTTTCAGTTGCCGTACACATCCCAAAACATCTAAAACAAAATTAATCGAAGGACGTACAGCATGAAAAAAGTAAACTAAAAATTTACACCTAGACACCTTTAGTACATTAAAATCTTTTTATTCGCGATGAAGTCACAGTATTCGAAGCTTTTTATGCAATGTCTTTTGTTCGACGGGAGCAAACAGCGTAAAAGGCGAAAAAATTAATATCAGCAGTAACGCTTATACGTTTCCCTTTATTCTACTCGAATCCACTTGACATCCATCTTAAGAAAGACTGAGCTAACAATTTTGTCTCTGGCTTTGAATAATACATTAATAAATTGATTTGAAATACTCAGTACATAGTCTCTGTGTAATGTATATTCTCTAAAGTAAATTGCTGCCTGAATACTTGAGAGACGATCCATACTGGCGTTGAGAAAGTCGAATATCCAGTGAAAAATTGACTTGCACGTTTTTTTTACTCATCATGTAGAGTAATCAAAGTTACCTAGAGATCCTAGTTTTTAAACCCTGTGACTGAATGCAAACTTGGATTGTATCAAAAACAACCGAAAAGATGTGTTTGTTCATCAGCAGCACTAGGTTTTTGTCTAAACTTATGTTATTTGTCTCAAAAATAATATTTTAGCGAAATGGTGGTATTGCCTAATTGTAGTGGTACTCTTTATATCTGAATGTTGATTGGATGCACTTCCCTCTTTTATTCTAATTAAAAATAGTCATCTTGTAGAAAATAAAATTCTCTAAAAAATGACGTTCACTTGAGCAAACATACATAAGTGAGACGTCGAAAATCTGGTTGTAAAGAAAAACAACAGGTTTTTCGTTATTACAGTATTTTGAAGTTTGACTTTCTCCTAAGCTAGTTCTACTTTGAAGAATTAAAGAATTGCGGGTTTTGCTCAGTTCATTCGCTCTGCCGACTCATCTATAAGTTAATTTTTTAAATTAAAGAATGAAGATGACATAAGGAAAAGACCGGAAAACTGTCCTCTTTAACAAGTTTGTCCGACGCGTCTATTTTCACATTGATATGAATGAATTAGATGGTTAGACTCAGAGGTACCTAGATATAAATTGTTTATGTCGATTGAAAATAAATTCCGTATAGACATGTTTCTCGATCTGAAACAATCAATTGATTATCTGTTCTCTTTGTCTTATAAAAAGAGGATGTCTCTCTGGACGTTTCGATCTGCGTGTTCTTCTTGTTTTTAGTTATTCCAACTTTTGAATGTATTGTTTAAAACAATAATACATACTCTCTTCTCTAATTGTCTCGTTTTTTGTTCCTTTCTCTCTCATTGTCATTTTATGTTTGTCTTTTTGTCTTTTGTTTCTTCCGGTATCTCTTTCTTATTTGGAAAGTCAAAGAATATTAGAGCTCTAGCAGTTAAAAAGAATGCGATTGATTCTAATTCATTCTATTGTCATTCCCATTGTTTTTCACTATCTATGACTCATTTTTGCGAACCCATTTCATAGATTTTCTTTTGCCTGTAACTCAAAAATGAGTCATGGATAGAGAAAAACAATGGGAATGAGAACCAATCGCATTCTTTTTAACTGCTAGAGCTCTAATGTAATGTGGTCCCTAGCCCGCGATTTTAATCTGTGTACTGTTCTTTTCTTTCTTACTGAATCAAGTTTATATCAACGACCAATTTTTTTCGGCAGAAAAGCCTCTATGACAAAATTTGCCAGTGAATGGTGGTATATCTTAACTTTTCCGATGAAACTAGCCCCTTGAAACTTCTCCTTAATCCTTATGCTTAAAAATTATCAGTATTTAATACCAACAAGACTTCTTTCAAGAAAATGTATCCTATATGAGGCTGAAACAGTGAATAAATAATTTTATAAAGAAAATTGGCCAAATCTTTTACGAACACCAGTACTCTGTGATGATAAGAAATAAAAACAGATCACTAAAGTAGTGATATACGTCAGCGATATGATAAAAAGAGTTCATAGTATATCACCGGAGAAAAATAAAGTTGGTTTGAAGTTGCTGAAAAGTACTTTGTCGTATCCAGCACACTCTATAATCCCGAAGATTTTCTATTTTTGGCGAGGGAAAGTTCTAAAAGTTTAGGAACATTTTTCAAACTAATATTATTTTCCCATGGAAATGTTTTTTGCACCATTTTGTTTCAAAATTTTTCCTAAACTTTTGGAAGTATCCCTCGTCAAAAATAGAAAATCTTTTGGGTTATCGAGTGTGCTGGATACTACCAAGTGCTTTTCAGCAACTCAAAATCAACTTGATGTTTTTTGTTCCGGTGATATGTATTTCGTCGTCGTTTGTGGCGTCTATTTATATCTTCGTGACGGTTGTTCGTTTACCATAGTAATATTTTGATAATATTATTGAACATAAAAGTCTGCGTTAGTGAATGAAGCCGTTATTATTTGAGCAAAAATTTTAACTATTTTAAATAACATCCCTTACTTTTAGGAACAACAATTTCTTCTTCATTGTCTATATTCAGAAATATTTCATATCCCTTAAATCTTTCATCTACAGGCAATTGATTTTCAACACTTTTCAGTCGTTCTGTTTTTACACCTTTTTCATCATTTTGGGCAATAAACAGATCTTCATTGTCAAACTATAAAAAATAAAATCACATAAAATGTATAAGAGTTTAAAAAACATGGATGCATTTTCACACCTGTGTCATAAAAATATTTTCATGTTGTTCTGACGAACTTTGAGTTCGTTCATTAGGAATAAATTGTGAATGAAATGTTTCAAATCTTTTTTGACCATCACATTCATCTAGATAATTAAAAACGTAAAATATTTGTTCTAGTTAATATAGCATAAATTATATATCGATATCTCCCTACCATTATTTGTCAGTGTTTGTTCCGTCTGGAATGTATTGGACTTAAACATGTCTTCTGATGATTGTTCACCACTAGGTGTTTGTGGCGCTGGTAATGCAGACAATTTTTCTTTGAAATCCTCTGATTGTTTTTCATCTTTAACATAATCTATATACTGTTTAACAGCTCCTGATAACATTACATCTACAGGTACTTTCGGCACTTTTGGAATAACGCTTGAAACCTACAATAGAATGAATAATTTATGAATATCGAATGAATGCCGATTAACAATTTCAATGAAGAAATATAAAATATTAAATTAACTTACTTTTCTGTGTCGTTTTACAGGTTTCGTGTAAAGTTGTTTTCCCGCCGTTACAGGAGGTTCGGTACTAAAATAATCATAATAAATTGACTCATTGAAAATAGCACATTTAGTGAAGAAACACAAAGAACCTATTATTTTACCGATGAACTTTGATTCCAAGTCGATCAATTAGAAAACTTTCTACCAATGGTGGTAAACCAACATTTCGTCGAATAAGAGGATTATCTGTTAGTAACATTTCTGTCAAACATGGCCATGATGCTACAGCCATCACATCATCTTCTTCTTCGATCTAACAGAAAACAGAAATATAAAGAGACTCTCTAGAATACAACATCTAATACATACCAAATTAGAACTTAAATCAAGATATTGTAATTCTGGAAAAGCAGGTAATTCTATCGATAATTCTTCTTCTTCTGGTATGTTCATTGTTGCTTCATCTTCTTCCACAATTGTGCTTTTCATTAATTCATCACCTGTGCCACTTAGACGTCGTTGAAAAATATTTGTCATACTATTTTCTACAACAAAAAATTTAACAATCAAAGTGTGAACGGCCTGTCTCAGCGCACCAGCACAAACCCGTAAGCTCGTAACGTTTAGTGAAATTCAGAGTTCTTCAGTCGAGCAACATACAGAGTTGAAGAGCGTCTAATTTTGTAGCTTGAAGAATTTTCTTTCAGGTGATAATTACGCAAAGCCTAGCTCTAATCTAAATACCTGACTATAACTCGCGCCAATAAGGCCATTTTATACGAAAGTGGCGTATACCAAAAACATTGTGTCACTTAAACTAGTCAGTTGCTAGAATAGATTCAATTATCATTTGAAAGAAAAACCTTTAAGCTATAAAATAAGATTTTGCCTAACTCTGTACGTTGCTCGACTGACGATCTATGAATTTTACAAAACATTACGGACTTACGTAAAAGTCAACTTTTACGTGAACAAGCCCTGTATTGTCATATAGATCTTTCTCTTTTTAATCATACGTGTTGCCAATTGTTTTCGTTTGATAGCTGCTTTAGAAAATTCTTGCACAATCTGGCGTCCTTGTAGCACCTTTAAAAATGGAATAGTTCGAATTTGATTTCGTTGTAAATGTAAACGTTTTAAACTAAAACAAAAACGTTAAAAAATTAGATAAAAAAAGTAACAACATGTTTACATTTTTACTTTTTTAAACATGCTAAATAAATAAATAATTCATCTTCGACAAGTTTATTATCATCAAGATATAATTCTTCTAATCGAGGAAAACGTTCTTTAACAAATTTTTTACCATGACTAAAGCAAAATGACACACCATATATATACCGTATAGATTAACTATGAGAATTTTCAAAAAAACAAAAACAGAATAATATTCAAAATCGTTAAAACCTGTTATCACGATTTATTTGGATGTCGTAGTAACAGAGTTTATCTCAATAACGTTCTAGTAAATATTGTGATTAAAAAAGATATATATCACAATATTTGAAAGAAATATATGTTTTTAGATTTATCGAGGATATGTCCATGAATAGTGATTCACTAAAATGTTGTTCAACTGCTATTCTATATTCTACCTCTCGCAAAACGTGAATACCCAGGTGTATATAGTTACATGTGCCTTTTAAGGGTACTTCGCCCCCCCGGGGGGTTGGGGGGGGGGGGAGCGCAGGGGGGGCGGGGGTGGGTGGGGGTCGAGTTTTTATGAGAGATAGAAAATAAAA